CTTTTTTTATTTATTTCTTTATAATACGTTTTATTTACCGCACCCTGCAAAATTTCTTTAGTTAAAACTAAATAGTGAAGTGAACCGAATGAGAATTATCGAACAACAAAATTCCACATTTAAATTAAAACATCATCTCATTTTTTTTCTCAACATTTTTGCTGTGAACTGTGAAAAAAAGCAAGAAGTAATTAATATTTGAAGAGAAAACAGGAATGAAATAGAGAATAAAATAAAAATAAAAGTGGATAAAGGAATGCGTTGCTACAGGAACACTGTTATTGTTTCAGCAAGTTTTTACTGCTCCAAACATATTATTACATCATAAAACACACTCTCCTATATTATAACTTCCATTAAGTCCTTAGAATTTTTCATTGAACATCAAAACATTGAACTATTTTATTTATTGCGTTCTATTTAAAAGAAAACCTTTTCCCGTGAGGAAGGCTTCAAGGTTACATATAAATAGAGATAGCAATATATACATATGTTCAATGACTTATGCCTAGAGTAGCGTCAAGTTACTGGTCGGGGTGATGTCATAACCAAAAGCAAGAATGCACAAAAAAGCCATTGTGTAAAGAGTCGTGAGACTAGCTAGCTCAAGTCCACGAGCGTTGAACTCTTTTGAGTGCCGAACAGAGTCAACGGCTGCTATTAGCCAATTTATATGACGAACTAACGACGTTTGAATCGCATTTACAATATTCACATAATATTCTACAGTAAACGAGGACATATTTTGCCAACCTTCTTTTTGACAAAAATAAAGTTTTAGGCTCTTAAGGGAAACAAAGATTTCGAGTTATTTTCCACGTATGTAGCAAGTTTGTTATGTATTGTTTGAAGATAATATGCATATAACCCGCATAAGCAGAGGTTTTTGACACTCGCGACAAAGACCGTGAAAAATATTGGCATGTTTAAACACAAATAGTTTGTATTTTTGTAAATGTGTGGAAATTGGTATTGATTTTCCAGTGGCTATAGTTGTTACACTTGTGTACATATGTACAAGTGACATTGCCTATTGGCAAGCTAAATAATTTTCATAAATTGTTTGTTCTATTTCACAGTAACTGTATTATTGTTGGACATTAATCACTCGTAAATTAAATAATGCGTCATAGTGTGCGCACATACATATTCAGTCACCTCTTATGACACAGGTTGGTATGTCGTAATTTCACTGAATCAATAATATATAAATGTTTTTAATTTGCATGTTTTATTGCTGCTATCATTTATGAAAATAATTTTTCGACGTTAAATTTTGTGTTCATTAAAATAAACACTGTGCTATCATTTATTTAAGATATCAACTTCAACTAATGAACTAAAAAGATAGAAAAAAGAATGGTTTATTTTCGTTTAATGATAGTTTGCTTTTCTTTTTTGCAATTATTGGTATTAAATACCTGGATTAATACAGTTAAAATCTATTCTTCATTTTGGAAAAAGATTCATTACTATTATAAGAAATAGACAACAGAGAGTTTGTGCAAACTTTTTAAAGATAAACAAGCGTAAATAGATCAATATTTTTATTTACTTGCCACGCACACATAAAAACTTTAAGTTGCGTAATTTTTGTTCGTGTCCTTGTCTAACAAAGATGATATCATCGTTATGGCAAAATTGTTGCTACAAGAAAGAACGCTGTTGTTGTTCAATACAAGTTGCTGTATTAAATACATTAAGAGTCGCAAAATGGTCTAACCGTTTATAATGTTATATAGAGGGTAATAATGCTTGAAAGCTAGATGGTCCTGGTTCCACAGGATAATGAATACGAAGATCATGAATATTTGAATGGATTTCTTCATCATGAAATTATACATGCCATTAATATTTTTTATTTAATTTGATTATTGGGTAGTTTCCTAGGTCAAAAATAAATTAATTCGGCGTTTCCATACAATAAAATGTTGAAAAATAACTATACTTTTATTCATCGATCGATCGATACACTAAACTTTACTATATATACTACTATAATATATACTATATACTATATTTTTTAGATAATTTGTAAGAAATAAGTAAACTATTTTACGCAAAAATACTATGACGTCATAACTCAGTGTTTCATTCAAATTTCATTGAAAAGTATCGTTTTTAGTAGAGTCAGAGGTGTCATTCGCGATGGCGCGGGCACTGGATTTCTCGATTTCCTACTATATGGTTGACTTGGGTACTGCTGGTGTACGTGTCATAATAATTGTGAACGTGCGCCGTCTATTGCGGCTAGTCAGCTACAAACCGTCTTAAAACATTGCCCTTGGGGTTATTTTCCTTTTCTGGTCATTTGGCTAAACATTAGTGTTACACTGTTTTCAGATAATGCAACTGACTTAATAATGTTACAAACGATTTGATTATGAAACCAATTGAAAACGACTTAACATGAAGTATCATGCTCGTTCTTCTTCATAGGAATCTATACTTTGGAAGGAACAAATTGCTTTTTGACTTTTTTATTTAATCTTCTTATAATTCTTACTTCCAAAAGTTCCTGTAATGGTCTAATTGAAATAAATCATCATTTTACTTTGAGTTTGACTTAGAATTTCATTTTAAGTACTTTGTTAATGTTCAATGTTTTTATTATGTCATAGGTCAAACGGCAAACGAGCAGACGGATTACCTGATGGTAAGCAATCATAGATCCGCCGATGGACACTCGTAGTACCAACGGAATTACTACAAGTGCATTGCCGGCCTCTTTAGGGATATAAGGATGTAGGATGGGGGAAGGAAGGAACACTCACACGGCTTTTTTTTGTCAGGGGAAAATTATCGAATGACTTCTCCCACGCAGGATAAAGAGAGGGAGAGTGTCAGACCCTTACTGACTAAAAACCACCGTTCCTTCTCCTGCTCTTTGCCGACGTCGTGGTGCCTCATTGCGCTGAACATCAGCCTACACACCTAACACGGCCTAACACAACGTAGGCGTTGCTTCACAGTGCTTCACGCCGGTTTTCTGTAAGGCCGTGGTATCGCTTCGGTCGAGCCGGCCTATTCGTATAGAAGCATGGCATTCCCACACTTTTTTGACAGCTTTTCTATCCGTGTTTTCTATTATATTATTGTTATATGGTGTTTGTTGTCAAGTGTGAAAGTCAGACTTATGGACTTCAGTAATTGAGAAAATTTGTCGCTTCAAAGAAAATAATATACTATTTGGAAAATGGCAATTGCATCAAATAAGGACGAGTGGTCAGTTTTATTATTTATACAATCATAAGGAGGTATTACAACAGAAAGGAAAATAAATTATAAACTTACTTACACATTAATATTTCTTTCCTTGCTACAGAAAGTACTGGCTAGACATGACTGTTTTTGTAGCCACAAATATACTTTACGTTTGTCTAAATGACTAAACACTTTTTGAATACTTGTTTGGCCTAGATATACACGTTAATAGCCAGGTTAAAGAAAATGAAGTTAAAGATTGAAGAAGATTACTTTTAAGAATATGCGAATTAATAATCTTGACGTGCTTTTGTGTTATCTTTTTACTTTGTACTGTAGGTATAGATTTATCGATGTGTGTAAAAAATACTATTTTGATAATAATCAGCGTAAATCATTTTTCAATTCGATCCGTATACAACACTTATGAGATACATCTACCATTGCCATTTTTCATACATATATTTAGTTTAATAGTACTGATAGTATGTGCTAGTAAAGTAGATGATTCGGAATTTCTTTTTTTTTATTAAATGCACTTTGGTTTTAATATAAGAAGTGATTCTAGCAATATATTATACTTTTTTATAAGAGTCAAATAAGTTATAGAAAAATATCGCCTGTTTTCGTAAATTCATTAATAACTCCCCAGTCAACTTAATAATTGCTCAAATTTTCAATAGAAGAAACTAATTAAAAAATATTTTATACTGGACTTAATTAAATTCAAATAATTTTGGTCATGTACTTAAAAAAAAGAAGAAAGTATTATGTGACTAGTGGCTGTATTGCGAACGCACGTAGATGCTCGAGGTCAACGCTTTTCGACTCAAGATTTAAGCGTTGATAAGAACTAAGTGGATCAAACAGCGCTACGTAATTGTCTTATTATGATGTTGCATTTGCAAAATAATGTTGTTAAAGATGTTTGCTTGCTTTGCTTTAGAATATTATACGCCTTTATTTCGTTACAGATTTCATCTCCAGGTAAACTGCGCCATTATGTAGTGTCTTAGGATACCTGAGGTATTTCGCTTTTGTTACTCTTTGTCTTTTAATGTAACTTCATTGTTATTTGTAAGGGACTGACGACATGTCGTCACGTCTTCTCATCTCACGTCAATTACTTATTAAATCTGGACTTCTTTTAATTTTTTTTACATAATATTTTTATTTTTTATTGTTGTTCTAGAAGTCTCTTTCCCTTTGCATTCTTGTGAGTTGTAAATTTTTATATGAATAGTAATATACATTGAATGAAAAAGAAAGGCTACCCGCAATACAAAGTAGATCTGATGTCACAGATCGTTCTCGGTAATCTGGTCAAACAAACTAGACAGTACAGTATTGGTCGTACGAATCGAGCATACAATTAAGCTGCGACCCCCTTTAAGTATTTTCAGTAAAAAATGTGGAGTGTGTCGGTCATCGAGTGCATGCGACTATTGATGTGTCAGATATGAAATAATGATGATTAATGTAACAATGAAATTATATTTGATATGCAATTTTAAAAGGATTGTAAGTTTTGAGGAAAACATTTTCCTTGGATTCTAGGCATAGAAATGTCAAAAACTATTCGTGATAATAAGTTATATTAATATGTTTATTTTGTAGACACAATACTTCATTAATCTACTAAAATAGTAAATAATTCATTCATACTTTTAATGGCAAGTGCCACTGTTCTTGTTTTGGAAGTTAGTGGAGCAGACTATTGGCTTTATATGTTTCTGAAAGTCGTGCGTAAGAAGTAGATGCATCGATGATAGGTGCATTAAAATCATGGCAAGAAAATGTCGGGCGAGGTATTGCCTAGTTTTCTATGCGTCGAAGTTGAACGCACGGCGGCGATGCCGGCGGTGGCAGTGGCGGTGGCAGCGGCGGTGTGCGTCGAGTCAAGGTAAGTGTGCCGACGGCCGGGTATGACCTAGTGCGGCTCCCCCACCCTGCTGCTCAGTTCTGCACTCGCGAAAGTTCAACGAACCTCCAGCAGAATTCTTACAGGCATACGCGACGGTTACATTACCGGAAAGCAGTTGCAATCACCTACATGCCCGCAGCATCGGCCGCTCCGCACACAATGGGTTCGATTCTGTCTTTGAGGCTAACTCAATTTTCATTAGGAGCCGTCGACTTACTAATTCTGGTTTGCCTAGATCTTTTGAATATTATTAAATCATTAAATAATAGTTTTGTTAATATTTACATAACACTAATGAATGAAATTTAAATAATCATCTTTTCTTAACATACTTTTTGAAACCTATTAATATATTACAAAATATTATATGTTAGTATTTTGTAGGTATACTGAAAAATGTATTGTAAATCTTCATATCATTTGTACCTACATTTATCCATCCCATTTAGTTCTGGATAAAAGTGCATAGCTGCATGACTTAATAATGCAATATATGAACTTATTGGTTTTCCTTAGTAAATATATTTTACATTTCAGTGCAACAACAGTGCAACAGCCTGCGCAGCCTGCACAATGGGCGCACAAGCCTGATCTTTACTAAGAGCTTGCACTTGGCAAATAGAACGGTGCTAGAACAAGTTTCCTTAAGTAAGATAAACCAATGACTCGTGCAGTAAACACTATGAGTAAGAGTGAAGGAAAGGCTTTAGCAGAAATTCGCAGGAGAATTATGTTAATTTGACTTCTTATGTCACCGAGCGGCCAAGTTTCGTGAATCATGCGCTCACGCGCGACACGTTATACATACACCGTTATTACTTTCTACGAAGCCAATCATTTTCCTAATTTCCTGTTTTTTGCTCGAAATTTAAGTTAATAATTATTTTCAGATTATCACTAAGCTAACAAACATCTTTGAGTTACATTTTTGAATATTTTATTAACAAGATTCTGAAGCTTTTCCGAAATGTTTCTTAAATTTTCTGTACTTTTCAATAATTTTATTGAAGATGTTTCAGGGAAAAGTGTTAATTATAAGTACAATATGTATGTGTAGTTGTGTGTTTTTCTATGATGTTAGTATGAGGCTTGCAGTGGAGAGTGTGGTGGACGGTCCGGCAGTGCGCTGTAACGGCGCGATCGGGGCCGATGAACGCTGCTGGCCTTATTCCGGCAAACTATCGCAAGCGAGAAACGCGACGTGTACTTTCATTGTCACCTCGCTGTACGCACACTACTCAGCGCTTCAACCAGCCTCTATCAGTCAAGGTTGCACTGATAAAAAATGATAAGCATGGATTATAATTAACGTCACGTAAGATTTGACGTGATCGGAGATGTATTTTTCTGAGTATCGTTAAATGGCTGGTCCTTATTACGTTTCCATAGGCAAATCACTTTCTTGTGTCGATGAACCAGTTGCTATTTACTTGCGGCTTGAATCTCTGGTAGTGTGAATTCTAGGTACTAAATGTATGCAGTGGTTATCGAAGAAGGAGATCTGTCTGGAGAGGTCAGCTACGGTACTCGATTGTACGATTCGGCGTCGGCGCGCCGCGAGCGGCTGTAACAATGGCGCAACAGTCACTGGCCTACGTCACTCACTGTCAAGTGCATCGAGTTCAGATTACGCTTTGAGCTTACTCGTGACTGAAATTTTACCAAATACATATGCAGAGTTATATACAAGTATTTTCGCCCCTAAAACTTCCAGAACGTAATCTACGCCTAAAGAGCGTTTCCTGGACGACTCTTTTATTGTCCGAGTTTTTAGTCAAAACATGGAAAAAATGTTGTCCATCATTCTGTATATCAATGAAGTTAGCAGATCGTCTCAAAGTGTAGATTCGCATGGAGAGGAAGAGTAACATACTAGTTTTTTGAGAATAACCATAGAGGTTACTCTCAAAAAAGTATTCTTATAACAATTTTTGTTTAAACTAAAGCTGGATAATATGAAGGATTGTGTCGAGTAAATGTGTAAAATGTAAATGCAAGCGTTACAGTAGTCGAGTTACGCTGATAATGACCTGCTCTACATAACTCCGTATCGATGTCAGTGTTGATGTTTACATTTTGGTGACGTTAATCTCCTTCATTTTCCTTTTTATTTTACCATTTAATTTATAGTAAAAGTAAAATTATGTTATATGTAGTTTACATTTATAACGCTGTTATTGATATAAGCTTATTTGCCTGAGGCTGTTATTGCTATTCTTTTGGTCTTTTAACATTCGCATGCTAAAAAACTTCACTTACACTGTTTTATCGGTACTATTTAATTTCTAGGTTGTCCAAAGAATCAGGAATAGTGTATGATTGCAGATTCCCCATTCATGGTTGTATTTTTTGTAAAAAAACTTAATGAATTATTTAATAAAGAGTTTTCTTATAATTCTTAATACGATAACTATCTGGATACCGTCAATGAGTACCTTAGATTGCGTATTCTTGCAAGTATGCCACTTTCTAAACATTTTTCAGTTTCTATATTGGTCTGGGAATCGAAGAAAAACTTAGTGCATAGGTGGGAAGTATGTTGTGGAGTTGCTTGACAGGTTTATTATTGTGATTAAGTTCTCAGTCACTATAAACATCAATAACGTCGAATATGAAATAACGTCCTACTGCTAAGTGGCCTTACTGCGGCGCTAATGTGTCTTAACCTTAATACTAAAGGTAAAACAAACCGATAATGATGCAGTTAAGTGTTAACTATTACTTATTGTTGTAAGTTGTTGGGAAGGTAAACTGCCTCTTGTTCTAGAACAATACCTTTTAAATTGAGGAAATGTTTAAGATTTTACTCTTGAGAAGTGATTAGGTAAAGTAAATATAGATGGCGATAAATATACTTTATAAAATTTAGGTGATCAACCAGATATTTGGATTTGAAAATCGATAAATTGCGCAGTTAATTGATGTGGATTTTTAGGAGGTAATTTGTTAGGCTAATTATGAATGTTTGTTTAAAATTTTATTAAATATGTTGCCCACAATGACAAAAAATATAAAGGTTGGGATTGCCAAAAGTGCAATGATGTTTATTATTCTATCCACGCTATTATACACATAAGCTGCTATATAGACGGATGGATGTTTAAGGTCAAATCCTAATATGTTCAGGATGACTTCAGATTCCGTGCGAACTTGCATGAACTTGTATCGAACCTGAAATATTAAATAGATTTTGGCTATACAAGTAGTAAAATCAGATAGATATGTTCATAATAACAGCAGAAATTATATGCACTTAGTGGTTTCTTATAATCACTACAAATCTGGCCTTGTTTCTTGCAAGGCTATATAAAATTAACACGTTTTTCAATTTCTCTCTAAGTTCGTGTTGGTGAGTGAAAACTGCATGGCCGCGCGGACGTCATTCCACTTTTCCGAGGCGTCGTCGGTGATTTATAAGGCAACCGGTGTTGTTTGAGCTCAGTCATTGAAGCGGGTTTTCCTTTTGTTAGGTGTTGGCGTGGGAGCTTGAGGGGCCGCGGGGGCTCCGATGACGCTGGTTAGTCTAAACGTATCCGCAGAAGCGGGCGACGACGCGCCGCCGATGCATTTCGCCGCTGCAGTGTGCAGTAGGTAAGTGTGTCAATGCACTCTAATCCCCCCCATCCTTCTCTCTGCAATCACTCATGACAAGTTCAACTCGTCTAGTCTCCCCGAGCCCTATGTGGAACAAACTTACTCGCAAAAAATGTGACTACTTAGGGGTATTTATGCACTAATCAATAGTAGTATATACAGTAGTTGGGTACTTTCTCCATAAACCATTATTCAGATTAGATAAATGTTATTGACTACAGCATCCTTCTTTGTTAATAAAATCCCTTTTTAAAGCAACATTTAAAAAGCTGTTTCCGACTGTCAAAAACTGTTTTGCGCAAGTTCAAAATGAGACAACAAGAATAAGACTTTTCTTAATATAGAACAAAGTTTGCTAAACCTGAATTATTTTATCAAATCAACAACCTACCTACATATCAAATAAAAATTGTATACTCTCATTAAGCAACGATCGCATTAGAGTGTTTCTGTGAATATGAAAAAGGTAGTCACGGTTTCGTTAAGATACTTAAAAAAGTCTTTTTGTAACTATAATTGAGCTGATCCGGTAGCCGGATATAATAATAGAATTGGAGATAATATTATTAGTTGACAAAGTGCTGCAAATAAAGTAGTAAACTGATAGGCGTCAGACATCGGGAGATGCAATAAACGAGTTCGTTAGCCTGTCTCGTTTTCATTAGCGTGCGCCACGGGTACTGGTTACGACTGAAAAACTTTCATGTTACAACGCGCGCGTCTTTATCACACATGTACCGAATGCATACTTGGGATTATACTAATATTATAGAAATTCTTGGGATGTCGGAAATATTCTCTTTTATGGAATAGGTCGGCAAACTAGTAGACGGATTACCTGATGGTAAGCAATTGTCACCACATCAACGTAGTTACGAGTGTGTCGCCGGCCTTTTGGGAATTAGCGTTCCGGATATTTAAGGATTGAGCAGAAATGGGGGAAGGGCAAGGATTGTGCCTCCGGTAATCTCACTCACACGTCGAAACACAACGTTACGCTGTTTGTTTACGCTGGTTTTCTGTGTGACCGTGGTATCATTCCAGCCGAACTGATCCATTCGTGCCGAAGTACGGATTTCCCAAACTTACATTATTTTTGAAAAAAATGTTGGTGAGATTAGTTAAAACTAAAAGATTTGTCCATTAAGGAATAATTTGTATCAGAGCCAAAGATGCCTTTAATTTTTTAAAAAGCACTAACCTAGTTGTGTATGTAGGTACGCTCTATTATAGTTATAATTGGATAGACACAACTTTTTGCTCAATGCTCGATAAAGTTTCCGGGCAGCATAAAATAAACATTATATGTATGTATATGACCAAGATGCAAGCATTTCTTTTGTTTTATACAATGTTGTAAATCATGGTGTTGAGGGTTACACGGACAGGTGGGTGCGCAAGCGCAATGCGCCGAGTTTCCTATCCGTATCTAGGCGAGTGACAGTAGCGGCTTGCGAAAGTGCACATAATTGGATCGGCGCTTTAGAAAGGGGGTTATGAGTTTGTAAGTGCAACGAACTCGCGTGCATTTCATCGGGAAGATGCAGTTCAGTCAGCGTGCGTGGAAAGCGCGCGCTTCCAGGAATCGGCAACACGTCGACACATCGTGGCGCGATCGTCGCGCAGCTCTCGCCCCGCGCTGCTTAAGGCGAAAAGTGAAAATAATTATACTAAACACCAACAACACCTAGATAACAAGTTTTTTTAACTCGCATTTGGTTGTCACTTTATCTAAACTCACATAGCTTATCAAAACATGTAAGCGTTATCTGTGTCTATGCCAAATAAGTAGAACACATTGTGTATCTTGGGTAAAAAAGCATCACCTGGCGCATATTGTTGTTCTTTGGTAACACTAAAAAACGTCAGCTATTATAATGATTATGCAACTGTTAAACAACGCGATATAACGGGGCCAAAGGGTTACGCGAGCATATGGCCCGCGTCGACCCGGTGCCGGATATGGGTTAAGTAATCACAGGCGTTTTTTTGCATCCTCTCTATTAA